CTCCCCCCCCCCCCAAACACAATCGAGCCCCACCACCATTCCCTCAGATAGCATTCAAGATTCTCATTTTATATATATGTGAGGTTCTTAAGAGTGGATTTCTAACTTTAAATAAAAGCTGGAAATCAATAAAGAGACAAACTACGTATTCATTTTCAAATGCCTAGTGCTTGGGACCAGGCTAGGAGGGGGTGCTGAGAAGTTTTGAGCCTTTCCCCGAAAAAAATGAGCTAGGAAGCTGTATTGTAACTGCCACACTATTCTACATATTCCCCCAGGAAGTCAATGGACTTGCGACATCTGTCCTGCAGCTTCTTAAGTCCCTGCAAATAAAATTCTTCCGACTGCTGGTGTAACCACTCATTTATTTGAAGCATTAGTTGCCTCCAGAACACTCCAAAATTGTTGTCCCTTTAGGTGTTTTTTAAGTTGGGGAACAGATAATAGAAGGAGCCAGGTCAGGAACATAGGGTGGATGGGGCATCACTTGAAAGCCTAAGGAGGTCGGTTTTGTCATTGTTTCACCTGCAGTGTGTGATGAGGTGTTGTCATGCAACAGGATGACACCTTTGGAGAGCTTTCCTCAATGTTTTTCCTCGATGTTTTGCCTCAACTTCATAAATAAAGCACAGTAATATTTTACATTGATGGTTGAACCCTGTTGGGGGTAGTCCACCAGCAGAACTCCCTTCTTATCCCAAAAAACTGTTGCCATTTGCTTCTGCACTGACCTTTGCACTCGGAACTTCTTTGGCTTGGAGGAACCATAGTGCTTTCATTCCTTAGACTGTTCCTTTGTCTCAGGATCATAACAGTAGATCCATGTCTCATCACCAGTTACCAGTTTGCCCAAGAAATCTGACTCATTTCTTGCAAAATATTCCAAACAGCCACCAATGACTCCACACGTTTCCTCTTTTGTTCGGTTGTCAAAAGTTTGGGGATCCACTTTGCTGCCAGCTTTCTCATTTCCAAGTCACTGTGGATAATGGCACCAACTCTCTCATGTGATATTCTCAGATATGTAGCAATACTTTTGGCTGATATTCGGCGGTCCTCCATGGTCATGTCATGGATGGCTTTTATATTTGCAGGCACAGAGACAGAAATAGGCTTTCCACTGGATTTCTCACTTTCCACACCAAAATGGCCAATTTTACAACTGACAACCTAACGTTTAACTGTTGCATATGAAGGGCCACTGTCACCCATAGTTTGTGACATTTCATCATGGATCTGCTTTGTACCTTTCCCTTGGAAAAACAGGAACTTGATTATGGTCCTATGCTCTTCCACACTGAACTTTTCTGGAGGTGCCGCCATGTTCACTTTGGGCCTGAACATGAAAGATAAGTTAAAATCATAGATAGTTGATTTTTGCAGCATTGAATACAGACAAATTGGCCAATACACCCTGAAATTTATAGCTTCCTAGTTCAATCTTTTCTGGGTAAGGCTCAATACTTGTCAGCACCCCCTTGTATTTGAAATATTTGTTCCTTAAAGCATCTGTTTTATTACCTTATTGGCCTCCAGGGGAAACAATGCCATTCAACAATAGAGTAAAACAGACAAGACCCATATGTGTGCATTCACAGAGGCCACGAAGAAGAAACATTATTTTAAAGTCTGTTTTCAAAACCAAGCTGAAGGCCTATTTACACCATATGGTTTTAGCACCTCATCAGAAACTCAAAAGAGGTAATACCCTTCTTTGGGGGTCGGAGTTGCACCCTCCTGGTGTTGATACAGGGAGAGCTTTGTCCACCATAGCACCAGCCTGCTCTCTTGTGTGGTGGGAACTATTACCTGGTCCTTGTTGAGGGTTTGGGGATTGAGGCAGGTATCTATGGGAGAAAGGCATTTTTCAGATGTCCTGGTCCTAAACTGGTTAGGTAAGAGTGGCTTGTAACCAGATCAGAGGTGTTATGTTATTACAGGCAGTTGTTATACTGTGAAGTTATGAATTCGCAATCTCTAGAATGCCCTATCCTTTACAACTCTGCTGAGGTCTTGATTTTTGGCATCACCTGGCAGGACAAAGTTCCAAACAGAGTAGTCCTAGAATGAGCTGGAATATTCAGCATGTATACATTACTGAAACAGCGACGTCTACGTTGGCTTGGGCACGTCGTGAGAATGGCTGATGGTTGGATTCCAAAGGATCTCCTGAATGGAGAATTAGTGCAGGGAAATCGCCCCAGAGGGACACCACAGCTGCGATACAAGGATATCTGCAAGCAGGATCTGAAGGCCTTAGGAATGGATCTCAACAGATGGGAAACCCTGACATCTGACCGTTCAGCCTAGAGGCAGGCAGTGCATCACAGCCTCTCCCAATTTGAAGAGACCCTTGTCCAGCAGGCCGAGGCAAAGAGGAAGTCACAAAAGCAGCAAAACCAGGGAGCTGGACAGGGGATAGATTGGATTTGTCTTCATTGTGGAAGAGATTGTCACTCTCAAATTGGCCTCTTCAGCCACACTAGACGCTGTTCCAAGTCCTCCATACAGAGCGCGTCACCATAGTCTTTCAAGACTGAAGGATGCCTAACCTAACCTAACCGGGTTAGGCAGTTGTTATACTGTGAAGTTATGAATTAGCAATCTCCAGAATGCCCTCTCCTTTACAACTCTGCTGAGGTCTTGTAAAATCAAGCTTGTGCGTTCTTTAATGGAGTCAATCCATCTCATATTTGGGCCTCCTCTTTTCCTGCTGCCTTCCAACTTTGAAAACGTTATGTCTTTTCCAGAGAATCCTGCCTTCTTGTGCCCCAAATAGGACAGACTCAGTTTCATCATTTTTGTCTATGGAACAAATTCAGGCTTGATTTGATCTAGGATACATTTGTTCATCTTTCCGGCAGTCAAGTGTCCACAAAGCGCTTCTCCAGCACCACATTTCAAATGAATCAATTTTTTCTGTGTCAGCTTTCTTCACTGTCCAGCTTTCAAATCTGTACATAGTAATTGGGAATATAATAGTATAAATGATCCTGGCCTTGGACTCCAGTGCCACATCTTTATGATCTTTTCTAGTTCCTTCATTAATGCCCTTTCAAGTTTCAGTCTTCTTTCAATTTCTTGCTTGCAAGTCTCCATTTGGAATGATGATTGAACCAAGATATAGAAAATCTTTAACATTTTCAATTCCTTCAAATGTCTATATAAAAGCTGTGCTTCAGTAATCAAGATTGGTGTCTTTTTAGTGTTTAGTTGCTGTCCTTTCAGGAGTGTACTATCCATTAAATGTTGGCTTAAGGTGCCCTCCTCCCAGTCTACAAGTTGTCCCAATGTTTAGGGTTTTATAGGTCAAACAAGCACTTGCACTCGGAAACCACTTGTAGACCGGGAGGGGGGGCACCTTAACCCTACGTGCTATCTATATGTACAGGAAAACACAATAGACTTAAGAGTGATGATTTGCAAAACAGATTCAGAGAAAGTATTAATTTTCTGGCCTGCTGATTTACTGCACTGTTCTGCTTGTATCTTCATTTTATCAATTATCTTGATATGGTGTCCGTTGTTCTTGTATGGCGCATGAAAGACGTACAAAAAAGGGCACACAAATGTTTGGATTTTAAAAAAAATGAGCTGTAAGTAGTGGATGCAAGGGGGGGCAACTGTAGGTTTAAAATTTAATCTAAGAATTTAAGTCCACCCTGCCCTGCCCCCGCCCCCCAGTGTCAATTCTGGTTTGGGCATTAAAACACTGCAAAGGATTGGCAACAACCTATTTAAAACACAAATTGCTGATTTGGGAGGCTCTGTGAGACAGTAACTTTTTTCCCTTCTCCCAGGAAAACCCATTTGTAGATCAGAGGAGGAGGAGGAGTTTAGCACGGCTTCAGAAACAGTCCAGAGCTGCGGAGCTGACAGAGGCAGAAAGCCAGGCTTTCCCCATGTATGCTCGACGTGATTGGACTGATTAAAGGTGACAAATTTTGACAGGCTGCCATCATCACCCATCCCAGGAATCACACAGATCTCATTCTTCACCAAATGATATTGGATTTCCATTCTGACATTTAGGATTTGGTCAACTTGTAAGTGCCTAAATAAAAAAATCCAACATAACCCCTCCACCCTGTTGCAGTAGCAAAAGGTTGGACAGAACACCAGCTGATGCATAATTCTTACACAAAGACACGTTAATGGGGAAATGCCACCTACTGAATTGGCTCTCTGCAGTGCAGCTGTTAAAAGGAGAGGCAAACAGCTATGGCTCTTTTGTTGGTCTAGAACTCCCTGTGAGCTGCAGGGGCAAAACTTTTACAAAACCAATGAAGCTTAAGCTTCAGGGCCCCTAATCCTGGTGTGGCCCCCGAAATTACTTCAGTCCCATTTTTAAAAAATTGTGCCGATCTGTAATGGAACAACCCCACTGAAGATGACGATTAGTGGCCCCCGAAATTACTTCAGTCCCATTTTTTAAAAATTGTGCTGATCTGTAATGGAACCCCACTGAAAATGACGATTAGTTGTCTAGAATGGTCGTAATTGACCAGATAGACGGGATATAAATAAAATAAATAAAATAAGATTACCCAGACATCATTGCTAGTTGCAAAGCCTTCCCCCCCCCCCAACGCACTCAG